TTGTTTTATGATGGAGAAGAGTAGTAAGTCTTTCACTGTTATCATGTTTACATGATCTACAAATACATCACTCCTACTCATAATATGGCTAAAGATTTCGATCTATGTACACATAAGAATAATTATTCCTGACTGCACTTTCAAGTCTTCATTCCTTATATGTTTAAAACTCTTGCCCACGTTTTCAACGTCAGACAAAACATACAGCTATATACATACATCTGACATTTCTCCCATTCTAGCTTTCTCAGTTTGAGAATCATCAGGTTCCCAGATGTAGCAGTGCATTACACAGGCTGAATGGCATGACATGAAACTCAAATAATCCATCTCAAGGTTTGAAAGCAGTGTTAGATCTGCTTTCAGCATCAGCCTGACTTGTCGGTATCCACAAGCTAAATCCAACCTGCTAAACTAATGAGCATATTTCAGCTTGTCTATGCAACAGAAAATTATAATCTTGGGTAGCCATATTCACCCAAAACAAGTCCACATAGAGCCTAATTATTATTTTACTACTGACAGCCACTATTAAAGATCACCAATTTCTCTATGAAGACTGTATCTCTTCATTATCCAATATTCACTCAATCTCACCAATGTATTAATTGTTGGTAGGATGCATGCCACCTATATCTATGTAATATTATGTTACTGTCACTAAACACTTATTGCTAGTTGGTCTAACAAAACAATCAATATATTCAGTCAGTAACTTCTTCAGGTCCTGTCTCATTTTGGAGTCCAAATTATTTGCACAAATATTAACTAAAGTCTCATATATTCATCTATCTCTTATTTCTCTAGCATATGGTGCCAAAAGTAACCGTAACTATACAATTAGTTCATTTTCACTTCATTCACTATGACAATGACTATTTCAGTGGGAACTGAATGCCCATAATTAAAGATAATCACTGGAAAAAGTATCAGCAGTTGGCTAAACAGATGTTTTAGCAAGTAAAACAACACACTAGACTGCATCCGTAATATAGTACTTTTACACTCAGAGACACTGTACTTCCTTTTTAATATGAACTTGTGCACCCTATTGTTCTCAGGCCTAATATGATAGGCAATGGATGTTTTTTTTCCCATGGAGTGAAGTTCACTCATTTTAAATGTGACTTGATTGATAGTTCCTTTAGTAGGTCCAGCCCTAAAATCTTAAGCAGTACTAACACAATTACCTTTGTTCTGTGAGTGACAGAATCAAGATTAAGTTGTAGACATGACTGTTTACTCATGTCTAGCATATAACAAGTAGCCAGAATATAGTTCGTATCAATTGGCTGAAAAGGTGGTTTTCTTGAATTTGTTGTGGGACATGAGAAGAATAATTTAAAATGCCCTACCAGTTCACAGCTGATGCACACTCAATATTTACTGTCTAGAATGTCCTACAGAGGAATTCCCTGCTGCTGTACACAGGGAATCGTGGATGTACGAACCACTGAACCAAGACTTCCGAAGGTGATTGTAGCAGCTAAGCCTTAGATTGGATACCTGGTTTGTAAGATATGAAGGCTTTAAGAGGTCATTCTGGTTGAGGTGGAGCCAATACAACAGCCATTTGTAACTACCTCACACTTAGTTTAATCAAAAACAGCCCCTGGTATACATTCCTCTGGCTCACATATAATGTTGAACTATCTTACTTGGAAGACTCTTGGTGAACATATACACAAGGATAGCCTTATTACTGCAGCTAACATGGATGGATATGTCTTCCCATGTGGATGATGCTGATTATCACAAAACCATTTAGCTTCTCATGGGCTCATTTCTTTCGAACTTTATACTCAATCCATTAGATACCTTGTTTTTTCCACGTGGTCAAAACATTGATGGAGCTCAGCTAGAACTCACACTCCTTTTTTGTCTAATCGCTAAATCAAAATATGTGCTGAGCACCAGACATTGCACCACATACTCATGGACCATCCATTTCAAGTAGTTACATGCCTGAAATGCTTCAAGAAGCAGTCCATATCTACATTTTCTGTACCCTTGAATGTCAGAATACTTATTTGTTTCACCTAACCATAATTGAAATGCAGTTGTGGCACCTTACCCATCATTTGGCTTAGGCACTTTTAGCATTAGAGGTACTGGCTTGATGTCCAGGGTCGTCAATGTTATTATGATTGCATTGTTCCTGTTTTTAAAAGAGTAATGTGTTACTCTAGATTCTGGTCAGAATCAACATTATTCAATCTGTTATATCTAAAATTTAATTCTCCAAGAATGCATTTGTCACAAACATCACCTGATCACCACAACGAACAAAAATAGTAAAGAAAAAAGTCTTCAGGTATTTATAAGCTTTACATTATTTGTATATAGGTATTTTTAGCATAGGTCTAGAGACTTCTCAATCTATCAGCTGCGGAAATAAAATATAGTACACAGTTACTCTGGTCAGAATCAACATTCTTCAATCTATTACATTTACATTTTTATTCTACATGAATGCACTTGTCATAAACATCACCTGATCACCATAACAAAAATAGTAAATAAAAAGTCTTCAGGTATTTTTAGCTTTACATTACTTGTGTATAGGCATCTTTAGTATAGGTCTAGAAAGTTCTCCATCCATCAGCTACGAGAAGATCCAGAAATACCAAAAGGAAATTACCCTTAAAAATGTGTTACTAGTACACGAGTAAGTTCAAAGTAGTCCCAAACTGGTTATTTGCATACTATGCATTAACACATGTACTACTAGCTTATGTACACGTGAAAATGTAGAAAAATAAATATTGATGAACTAAAATGAAAAGAAGTATCTGATATTTTGAGACACTACAGTACCATTCTGCAGAATGCTTGTTCATACCCAAAAGATCCTGAGGTTGTTCCTGGCTCTAGATAAATAAATACACTTGTGTTATATGATTTCATGTTGAAAAACAACTCATCTGTAAAGATGAATAATGCTGTTGTTAATACATTAAATATGTTCTTGACACACTTGTAAGATAAATGTTTTGTGCATTACAGAATGCACTTCATTTTTGTTATACATAAAGACTGGATTTCTGAATATTTTCTAGCTACCTGCTCAATAATATGCTACCAGCTGAGTATTCTACAATCTGATTCAGTCTTGGATCAGCTACCCTACGATTGCTTGGAGCCAGACTGAAATCGTTTGGTTGTATTATCGATAATGATGATCTGCCTTTTTCAGGTGCACGATCAAATGTGCCATTTGTGTGGATGTCATTTCATATTATGCTAACAAACGCTTGAGGTACATATAACTAAACTACTGTTGTTACTGGTCGACTTCCATTTGTTTTATTGGTTTTCACAAAAGTAAAACATCCAGATGTCGTCTTGAGGGCTTATACATCATTTATTACCAATTTGGAGGTCTTTAAATTTAACGATTCACTAAAAAGTGACAACTGAGACAATATAAGAATATAACTTGCAGCATAGGTTAAATGTCCAATCATATACATTTCATTGTTTTGGGTTTGTGCAGTGTATTTTGAAAGATGGACTGGGAACATGATCAATTTCCTTGAATTCATTGGTGTCTTAATCGATAAAACAAATTTATCTTTACAAACACAATACTAACGTATAAATATAAAATCATAAGGACTTCGTTTCAAAAGCAGTCTTTAAAAATATTTTAACATTTAATTTCATAAACAATAATTAAATTATAACAATTCTGATAAAAATCCTTAATAACAGTATAAATTCTAAGAAGAATTTACATTCAAAGATCATTCATTCGATTTTTATAATACTGTGAACATGAATTTAAGAACATTAAATTACTATTTGCAATTATGAATGAATCCTATAAAAATATTACTTCTTGTTTAGTTGTTGTGAAGCGCAAACTAAACAGTGGGCTATCTGTGCTCTGCCAACCACGTGTATCGAAACCCGATTTTTAGCGTTTTAAGCCTACAATTTTCCCTCTGAGCCACTGGGGGCTATTATTTTTGGAACAAACCGTTGTATTAAATAAGATTCATATATTGCATTAATTATTAAACGTACAAGATAGACGGAAATTGTTTGGGTTTTAAATTTGGTATTAAAGAGTTTAAGGTAGATAATTTCAAAATCATTTGTTTTAACGTTTATATTATGTTTTATATATTTGAGCAGGATTTATCGGATCCTCATAAATCAAATACTGGATTTACTTGAAACTGGATAACTAGAATGTTTCGTGTAATCAAATTGAAAATAATAATTTTAATAATTTCATTTTTTGAATTTGATCGTAATGTTATAAGGTAAAGTTGGTAAAAAGAAGTATTAACTATCAAGTATTAAGAGAGAAAACGCAATTGGAAAGCATTGGAAAGATCTGAGCTAAAAAATGTTTTCTCTTTTATATTTGATTATGTTTCATCTCATTTCATTTTCCAAGAAATGGTTCATCCTTTGTTATATTTTCTTAGCCAATTGTAGAAATAGACTGTGCTAGTCGTATCTAATTTTGAATTGATAAACTTAAAAAAAGACATCTAGTCAACAACACCCACCGTAAACTCTTGGACTTCTCTAACAGTGTACACATGGCCTGAAAGTTTGTTGTTGTTTTTTTTTAGAGCAAAGCTACATTGGTCTATCTGCTGTGTCTACACTGCCCTATAGGGGTCTGGTTTTCAGCAGCGGTAAGCAAGCCATGGATTCTCTGGTACACCTCCAAGCACGCTAATTAAGAGACTATTCCCGGCTCATAATAGTAATGTTTTGCATCAAATTAATTTCTTTACAAAACTGATTTTTGATTTGCAAAAAAATAGAACCGAGGAGAATGATTTACTTTATTTAATAGAAGTTTGTTAGTTTGAATTTTTAAACGCAAAGACGCACAATGGGCTACCTACACTGTATCCACAGTGGGAACTCGAACCCTGAATTTTAGGGTTATAATTCTCCAAACTTTACACTGAGTTTCCGGGGAATTTTAGTAGTAATTATATCAATATAAATCATTGTTCTGGATCTTCTTACAGATGTCCTGTGGTTGCATATCCGGACAGTCGGAGAGTGGACAAGTCAGTTATGGAATTATTTTGATAAACCATTTTTTCTCAATCAAAAGAAGATGATAATCACTCCTGTATCTTTCGTCATCAGCAGTTTTCTAACACTAACAAAAACGGTGTTGATGATGTAGCAGTTTCTCTGTCGAAACATCCTAACATCGTGTCAACCATAAGCAAGGATCATAAAATAGAATGTGTCAGTTCATTCAAAAGTGGGATAATAAATCTTGGTTTTACGAACGATGACAAAAAGCAAGAAGAGGAAACAGAAGAAACTATTGATAAAAATTTAATCTCGACTTTAACTGAGAACCTGCATTCAAAGACTGGCATTGAAAGTCCACCACCTGAACAGCAGATGGCTAAACAGCATTCTGAAGAGAATGCAACAGAATATATTTCATGTCCTGGAAATACATTGGAATTGGAATGTAAAGACAAACAAGATAATAGGTCAAACAAACAAATGAAACATGGTTTGTCCACAGTACTTGAAGAAGATAACAGTGATGATATCTCAGAAGGCTATGAAAAGTGTGATGAAAAGCTTTCATTGGAAAATTATAATAATGATAGCCAATTACAAAATAATACACATAGTGAAATTCCATTGTATGGAAGGAGAAATCAACAAACACCACTTACAGGTTCAGACACAAAGTAATGCATTTCCCTTTCTTGAAAGCGATACCCATAATAATGTGTCACAAAGTCAGACACATTGCGTTACATTTCCCTTATCTGAAAGTGATACTCACGAAATTGGGTCACACGACGAAACGCATTGTAGTGCATTTTACTTACCTGAAAGTAATACAAATGACAACGGGTCAAAAAAGCAGAGATATAATTATGAAACTCTTCTACTTGAGGGAACCAATGTTCAAGGGTCACAAAATCAGAAACAATCTGTTAGCATCCGTTTACCTAAAGATGATGTCTCCAAAAGTCAGGTAAAAAACAATGAATCTCCTATATGTAAAGATGATGATAATAACAGCAAGCACAAGTCATGCAGCCAAACGGAACATGATGCACAGATTGTAAATGAAAGTGGTAACAATTATACTACAGTTTCTGACAAATCAGCAGAACATTTTGATATTCCAGACACCGTATTTCTCTCAATACCAGAGGAAAATAAGAAACGAAAGATGATGCGCACAATTTCAGCACCTGCTCCTCACAAATCCATATCGCCTCGGTTAATCAGAGAAGGTACAAACACCTGTAGACCTCAGATGAACGAGAGGTCTCTTAGTGCTCCCGCTGTCCCTCAAGGATTTAAAAGAACTCTGCCAACTATCTTACTTCCTGTCCTCCAGGAGAACAAAGATGAAGAGGAAATATCAGGACTAGTGCCACCATTATCATATGAAACCCTTCAACTCGAAGATGTTTTCAAAATGTCGAAGCCTCTGAAGGTAATCACAAATATTTTTATAAGGTGTTTCTATTTTGTTTTTCAGAATTTTACCTTGTATTATAGTTTGTAATTGCTGTTTATGAAGATAACTAAACCATAAATTTAAACAGATTATGTGGGTTTTAACATTCAATCTAGTAATGATTCAACAATATGACAGTTTTACTCATCTTTTTTGAAGAAATTGTATTCATACAGAGTGGTTTAAAAGCAGTTATGAAATTAATTGATCAGATGTAAACATATTGTATACAACAAAGGTCTTTCCTAAATTTCTCGATAAGTCCAATGCATTATTTTTTGGCTTAACTTTTTTCAAGCAAATAAATGTCTTTTAAACAACAAATAAAAGTATAACGTGACCAGAAATAACATCTGTTCCTGTTAATTAATTCCTCATCATATAACTGACAGGAAACGACCAATGGCGATTAAGATAGACAATTTCTAATTGTCCTTGCTTAGTTTTCGCATATCTCTAGTGTTAACTATAGATAAAAGTTTAGCACTTAGCAACATAATTTAACTTATTTTGGTCTTAAGTCTTACACATAAGACGGTATTATGCTTGTTTTCGGTATAGCCGTAGGACCTTTGACTTTTCACCAAGATTCTTATTTATCTGACCAGAAAGTAACTTTTAGGAGAATAATTATAATAATTATTTTAATTTCATAAAATAACTTGTAAATGAAACTGAATTTTTTCACGCTTCGTTTGTAGTTATTAAGTGTGCACGTTTTGTTCAAGAAAATCATAGAGTTGACACTTGTGAATAATTAATAAAGAAATGTTAATTATTGCAACAAAATACAAGCAAACAGAATACCATCAAAGAACTCATGCGACTATCTTACAACATGTTAATCATCGTGACCATGAGACAATAAAATTGAAAATATTTACTTCCGATAAAACTTGTTTAGTTATGATCAACTACAGAACAGTTGGACTGTTTAAATTTTATACAATAACGTACGTATCAGGCTCAGTAAAAACTACTTAAGGCAAGATGAAAAAATTAATTATGACCTATTACAATAAAGTTACGTTGATCTTATAACTTTCAACTTGATGTCACTTTTTCTTACTATTAAACTCGTAAAACGTCGCCTAAATCAAATACCAATATACTACAACTGTAATGAATTATCTCATGAAAACGTGTTTGTTCAAGCATAGACCAGATGCTAATTTCAATGCTACTGTTATTTTAAAAGTGCCTACTCATGTTTATCGAAATAAAAATATCATCTTAAGGGTTACTGATTCGCATGTTACGTGTGTGTTAGTTTCAATACAACTGTCATCAATTGAGTGTGACATGAGACTAGCAGTAGGAAATCAGCACATTGTCAGTGGAAGCTTATTAGATATAACGTTTCATTTCCATTACAATTTTCACTGATTTAAAAAAAAACTGACGTCGTTAGGGCAATTGACTCGCAATCTGAGGGTTGCGGGTTCAAATCCCCGTCACCGAACGTGCTAGACCTTTCAGCCGTGGGAGCGTTATAAAGTCACGGTCAATCCCACTATTCGTTAATAAAGGAGTAGCCTAAGAGTTGGTGGTGGGTGTTCTTGACTAGTTACCTTCCCTCCAGTATACCACTGCAAAATTAGGAACGGCTAGTGCAGGTAGCCCTCATGTTGCTTTGCGCGAAATTCAAAATAAAACAAACAAAAAACGGAAATGAAGAGGTAAGTAATTATTTTTCTGTTTCCCGGAACAAGGGTATCTAATAAGTTCGAACTAAATCAAACATTTAGTTCTTGTTTTCAGAATTCAGTACTCTTCCTATAGTCCTAGTTTGAACTGGTAAACCCCTTATTCATCTTTGGTAAACATAACCTAGGAATTTTACATGTTATAAATTGTATAATCTAGAATATTTACGTCTTCTTACTGATCTGTGGAGTTAGTGACGTGACGACAAAGTGAGAAGATAAAGCTGTCACAAACTATGTTTGTCTAGGTGTGACTGACTGTCTATCAAAGGTCACGTTGTACCCTTGTTCTTACATTGTTTGATTTTGGGTTTCAGTTTAGTAATGGGTTAAACAGACCTGAAGTGGTCTTCTTGTAACCAACTATATCTCTGAATGTGTGCATTACCAAAGTCTTTCAGCTTCAATTTTTCATCTCCATCGTTTCTCTCTCTTTGTTTATTTTACATGTCTTTCCAATTTGGGTTTAGAAAGCTAAATATAAATTAATTGTGAAAGTATCTGTGCGTCTTCTCTTATGTCGCTACTTGTTTTGATGGTATTTCACTAGTGTGTGATGACTTTTTAGTAAACTAGGAATATCACAGCTTCTCAAGAAAATATTGGAGAATGGTAAGCAATTAACTTGTAGCATTAATACTATACGTAGGCTATTTTCGAGCTCTATAAAACATAAAATATTATGAGAATTATTTCTAAAGAAAGTAGCGTTAAAATTTATATAATGGAATAATAATTATTATCATTATTGTGTTGCATGCAAAAACACCAGTGTTCTTGTGTTGAATGACTGAGATTAATTTAAATAATATATCTCGTGGTACTTTAATTGAATATTGAACAAAAGTTTACTGATTTCTCCAGCTAACTGTAGAAGGTCCTTACGGCTCACCTACCAGACAAATCTTCAGATCTCAACACGCAGTTCTCATTGCTACTGGAATAGGAGTGACACCGTTTGCAAGTATTTTGCAAAGCATTATGATGAGGTATCGACACGCAAGAATGAAATGCCCGAAGTGTAACCATCAGTGGGTGAATCAAGTGCCACACTCTATCCACAATCTTCGTAAGGTATTATAAATATAACTATAAATGAAATTACCTAGATAAACATGTGATAAGAAATGTATTTAAATTTTATTCGGTGTCGTTTTCATTCTCAAGATTGAATATTTTGCATTTTCATATAAACATCCACCAGTCCAACTACGGTGCTACACTTTATACCTGTGTGGCGTTCATCTTCGAAAAGGATCTGAAATTATATATTTTATAACTTCTTTTCATGCATATTGTGCTACTATCTTAAGAGTAAAAAACAAAACAACACGTTTTTTTTTGGCATAATGAGAACTATAATCTTTATTATAGGTTACAGCCAGCTAGTCTTGATAACATAGTAGCTCTGAATTTGATAACTGTGTCACCGAAACTAGTCTGCTGTAACATTTTACCTTTCATTGTGGCAAAGAACATCATTTGTTTGCATTTTTTACTCTAAATTAGATATACTAAATTATATTTTGAATTGAATCACGTAGAATTCAGACAGGAACTTTGTACCCAATAGAATACTAATATATATGAAAATAATTTCACCTAAGCCATCGGTTGAATGTTAGATTACTGTAAAATCCTGATATCATTAGGAATTCTAAAAGTCTTATTCATAATTTATTTCCGATATATCTTTTATCTCAGGTTGATTTTATTTGGATAAACCGAGACCAGCGGTCATTCGAATGGTTTGTTAACCTTTTAAGTGAGCTCGAGATCCAACAAGCAGAAGATGGTGACATTATGGAACGCTTTCTTGACATCCATATGTTTATTACATCAGCTCTTCGTAAGAACGACATAAAAGCCCTTGGCCTTCAAATGGCTCTTGACTTACTTCATGAAAAATCGAAAAGATGTTTAATTACCGGCTTGAAAACAAGAACACAACCAGGCCGACCAGACTGGAATAAGGTACGTTTCGGCTTAAATTTATAACTGTACGGATATGTAAGTTATCATTGTTAGTATGTTTGTTTTATTAATTTGTAATAAGAAATCTTTAGAAAAAAAATATTTTGATTTCAATTTCACCATCTGCTTACACTGACTCGGTGAAGGGTCGTTCTTGGTATGTTTCTTATTTTTTTAAAAAAACATTAAAGTAATAACGATAATGTATCAGTTAAAACAGGTTGTCATGTAACATGGCTAATGGTTTTACTTAATGATGAACCAAAGAACAAAACAAAAATTATAAAGCATAGTGGATGTTTTTATTTCACCATTCTCCTAGTCAGTGCATCACGGATCTTGAACCAGAAATGTATAAAGATACATTTCCAGTTCTATGTAATCGGTTCACGTTAGACCTCGTTACTTAGGCTGAAACTATGACAGTGGATTTAATTGGAAAAAAGCAGGTTCTGTTAAGTAACAGATTTCTGCCCTTAGCTTGTGCAGATAAGAAACTAGTGGAGGTAAAGAAAATAAAGGGGACAAATATAGGTGGGAATGAAAATAATTTGCAGGTTATGATTATAGGTGATCATTTAGAACGACACCAGGAGAGAATAGTCTATGGGGTAGAAAGGGATAAACTAATTAGATTACGCTATACGGGTACATGGGTGGAGGATATAATTAACAGAGCAAGTGATATTGTAAAGGGTGCTAACAATAATACAATCTTTGTAGTGCACATAGAAACTAATGATGTAGGAAAGTGTAGGTCAGAGGAGCTAATTGATAAATAAAAGGGATATGTAAATGCATTTAAAGAAAAGGACCGTAATAATTTAATTCTGTGAGGGATACTGCCAATACTTAACTGTGAGAATGAAATTAGAAGTAGGTTACTAGGGCTTAATATAAGTCTTAGGTTAATATATAAGGACAAGCATGTTAGCTTATTTGATTTATGAGATCAGTTTAAATAGAGTAGAGGCTGGTATGTTTGCAAGGGCTATTAATTCAACTGTAAGGGCAGCCTAAAACTAAGACTATACAGTGGTAAGGACCAGATTAATGAAGAAAAAATAATACAGGAATAAAGTTCAAAAGCAGTTATCATTTTAAATCTACACCATACATATAGTGAGTCTAGACAGTCCAACTACATCTGTGTGTTAACCTTTTTTGAAATTGAAATTGAAAGCAAGATGCAATCATTTCTTAGCAAGGTGATCAAATGATGTAATGACACTGGGATGGTTATATATCCTGCCAAATTCATATCTAAGTTCTTCACGCACAGTAACAGATATGCTTATGAGGACAAGCCATCACCATCCTCTGTAGACATTATTATCTCTCTCAATGAAACAATGAAGTACCTGGGAATAACCTTTAACAGACAACTCAACTTCAACATCCACATCAACACAATGTTAACCAGGGTTTTCAAAGGCATTAATTCATTGAATATTGCAACAGTAAATAGATGTAAGAGCAACACTTGCTTATACTATACCAGAGTCTTATCTATACATATTGGATTATGCATTGCCAATGATCAACACGAGTGTTTACACAGCTAAGTAAGATGGAAAAGATAAAATACACTTGTTGAAAACCGGTCACGAGATATATTCAGGCCTCTCCCCATCAAAACCCTATTACATCTTAGAGGCTTCAGTGTCATCATAGAACATCAACAACACTTATATGAAGCATACTTCATAAGGGACGTGCAGTGTAAAGACCATGCATTCAATTATCGAGCAACTACTCTTTTCAATTGTGACATTCTAGGTATATAGTGAGCCTAAAGACACTAGCCAAGCAAGGAAATGGTTTCTCGGGAGACAGTCACGAGTGTACAAGAACTATTCAGTCACTACTGAGGTCATTTGTCACAACCAGATCTCAGATTTTTCTCATACGGAATAAGTATCTAATTTCACTAGGATCTGTGAAGAACAACCTAGACAGATAATGTAGAGATTAAGCAGAGGATGAAGAAGGAAAAACAAATATCGCACAACCTGTTTAAAGTCTATTTGCCATCACAAGGTATATTTTTTTTCCACAAGGAATAAACAACCAGAATATGCAACATGAAGCACAGAAGCTGGCATTCAGATTGTATCTCAATCTGTCTGCTTCAATGATCACCATTCTTGACATTTCTCTTCCCCACCAAGTCTCAGATTTTTTCAAATGGAGCTCCAGGTCCAGAAGGTGTAAGAATATTCATATTTAAGAACCATATATCCCTCCCCTTAAAAAAAAGAGAAATATTCTGTTGCCTAGGGTAACTAAGTATTTTCATCTGAATACTCTCTGAAGTTGTACGACACTTATATTTCTCATGATGGTTATCTTCATATAAAAAATCTCAAATATTTGAACGTTAAAGTAAGTCAATGATAGTTTATGGGTTTGGGTAAGGATTAGATAAACGCATCAGCCCATATTTTAGGGGTATTATCTGTTGCCCAGCTATGTTGATACTTGAACAGCTTGGATCCGTAAACATTCTCCGGATTGTTTCTGTGGCTTTGTTCAGATCATGCTATGTCTTGACTAGTTCCCATTCGATCTTCCCATGTGACTGTGGTTCCATCTGTAATATATCACCAACGTTTGGAATCTTCAGATTTCTGAAGAAATGCCTAGGCATTTGTCTCTTGAGCAGCCCTAACATCGATTTGTCTCAGTCAAGGTTAAGAGTGCAAAACAAAGTTTATGATAGTAGTCATAAACAATGATAATAAAATATCTCCTGAGGTTCAATTCAAATGCCGAATTATTACATCGCTTCTGAATAGGTCGGAAATTTAAATTTTTCAAATTGTTTCAGCAGTTGTTCTCACACCAGCGCAAGCTGTTGATTATACATCTATTCTAACTGCTTTAATTGAATGACTAATACACTTTGAATTTGCAATTGTTGTTAATTATATATTGTTTAAAGATGCGCTGCTTTTATGGGTTGAATCATTGTAGTTTTAATTGCTTAAAAAACCTCCACTGTAATGCAGATTGCTAAATTAATTTTAATCATCCAGTGGGAGTCTCATCTCTTAATATCAACCGTACCTTTGCTCTTGGAGATAATATAGTTTAAATAACACAAGCTACATAGATGTCTTCAGCACTTTTGCTTCACTCAACATTCTTTTAGTCGTTTCAGCTAGAAAGATGAAAAATTATCCTTTATAATAAAAAATAACTCGGGTTACTATTTAAAACTACCTCGAGTAGTGACAGCCACTGCTTGTCGATGATCCTCCTGTTTTTATCTAGCTGTTGGACAGAAAGGATTGTTTGTTTGTTTTGAATTTCGCGCAAAGCTACACGAGGGCTATCTGCGCTAGCCGTTCCTAATTTAGCAGTGTAAGACTAGAGGGAAGGCAGCTAGTCATCACCACCCACCACCAACTTCTGGGCTACTCTTTTACCAACGAATAGTGGGATTGACCGTCACGTTATAACGCCCCCACGGCTGAAAGGGCGAGCATGTTTGGTATGACGGGGATTGCGAGTCAAGGACCCTAACCACCTGGTCATGCCAGGCCTAGGTTAAGTGAGTATTGTAGGCGACAGCAAAATATTCTGAAAACTGAAATCCTTATTTATTGAATATTATAGTTAGTTTTATTATATTCAAACGCTGCACATACATTAAAGAATCTATTAACTATGGAAATGAGATTCTGTATTTCCTAGATATATAAACTGATTTCAACAAGTAATATTATAAGAAAACATACTGTTATCTGGCCAGACAAAGGTAATAGTGATACCACTGTAAAAGACCAGCTCATTGGTCACCAATAAACTATTGTTAGTTTTCGCCGTCATTTTCATAATTTATAGCCAGAATTCATGACTATTGAAATCAGTTAAATAAAGTTTCAAATGAAATCCGTTAATGAACATTAATTAAGTTCAAACTGACTAAATGTAAAAGAATGAAATATTCTGGTCAACAGTAACAAAATAAAACTTTAAGGCACACGAAAATATATCTTCCATGTTGTTTTTTTAACAAAGGCAAGAATAACAAATATAAATCAGAATTGTAACTACAGCAATTTTTCTCTGAAAAATATCAAAGGCAAAGGTATTAATAACAAGTCTAAATGACAGATGTGTTGAAAAGTGTGTACTGACAAAGGCACTAATAAAAGTGTCAATGATGAGTATACTATGAACAATTCCTATTGACAATAGCATTTTACTCTCTAATTATATGTATGTAAATCATTACTTTACAGTTATTCTCCTTTCAAATACCTACTAACCGGTAATTTTAATATCATAACTAATGATAATTTTCAACCTATTGACAATATTATTTTACCGCTCTTTCTCACTCTAGAACAAAGCACTTTCGTTAAACCCAAATCACATTATTTGGACTTAGAATAAGCAACTTTCAGGTTCAAGTTAGTGTTCAAGTTCAAAGTTTACAATGAAACAGAATCTTCTTAATTTTTGAAACTATGAATTTTTCATTTCCGAATACAAGCATTCAAAAAACATATGCTACAATTTTTACTACTAAAATCTTTTCAGGTGGAATAGAATTTGTTCAACGCCAGAAAATTTTATGAACAGAATTCATAAATTCATTTTTCACAATCAAGTTTCTCCTACCGTATTTGAAATACCAGATATATTTACTTTTGCGGTAAATTTAATGATGTTCTTTTGACACTTATGCGATTAGTAATCTCAAAAAATATCACGATCTTTCTTAAAAAACATCATAATTTTTTTCAATACTATTAAACCTACACTTTAATTTCTTACCAATTTTTTACGAAAATAATGAACAGTTTTAGTAAAACAACTACCTTTAGTTTCACCTCTTACTGTTTATGGAAGCTACATAACAGTTCCTTATGTAATATAGCATTGCATCATTAATTTAACTACATTACTTTCTGTTTGTTATGAGTCGAGCGTGGTCTGGAGATTAACATGCCAAACTGAATAGCTTTTATCCTGCCACTGACATCAAA